GAACGAATTAGAAAATTTTCAAAAAATAAAATCCATTAAAAATTTTTAAAATCTTTAAAATATGTAATATAGGAAGGTGCCGATATATGAGGTGATATACGATATTGTGGACCCATAAAGACAACTCTATGTCTGCGTGTAAAGTACTCACAAGGAACTCCTTGTGTGGATTTACAGATAATTCCATTGGAAAAGCAGCTAAAATCATCAAAAACCTATTATAGAGGAGTACCGTTATATGGGTGATATACGATATTGTGGATCTATATAGACAATTCCGTTTCAGGGGTAAAGTGCTCACAAAGAACTCCGTGTGTGGATTTTCAGACAATACGATTGGTAAATGTGGCTAAAATCATCAAAATACCGAATATCGCGGGGTACCGTTATATGGGAGCTATACGTTATTGTTAACCTATATATAGAATTCTCTGTCGGGGGGTAAAGTGCTCACAAAGAACCCCTTGTGTACAAAGAACCCCTTCTGATCATTCCGTTGAAAAATATGCCTGAAATCATCAAAATACCGAATATCGGGGGTACCGTTATATGAGGGCTATACGATATCGTGGATAATTCTCTGCCGAGGTATAAAGTACCCACAAGGAACTCCTTGTGTGGATTTTCAGACAATTCCGATGAAAAATGTGTGTAAAATCATAAAAATACCGAATATCGGGGTGTACCGTTATATGGGGGATATACGATATCGTGGACCTATATAAATAATTCTCTGCCGAGGTATAAAGTACCCACAAGGAATTACTTGGGTGGATTTTCAGACAATTCCATTGAAAAATGTGGCTAACATCATCAAAATACCGAATATCGGGGGTACCGTTACATGGGGGATATACGATACCGTGGACCTGTATAGACAATTCTCTCTCAGGGAGTGAAGTACTCATAAGGAACTACTTGTGTGGATTTTAAGACAATTCCATTGAAAAATGTGGCTAACATCATCAAAATACCGAGTATCGGGGGGTACAGTTATATGAGGGATATACGATATCGTGGACCTATATAGACAATTCTTTTTGAGGGGGTAAAATGCCCATAAGGGACTCCTTTTGTGGAATTTCCGAGGATTCCATTGAAAAATGTGGATAAAATCATCAAAATACCAAATATCGGGGGTACCGTTATATGGGGGCTATACGATATCGTGGACCTATGTAGATAATTCTCTGCCAAAGTATAAAGTACCCACAAGGAACTCCTTGTGTTGATTTTCAGATAATTCCGTTGAAAAATGTGGGTAAAATCATCAAAATACCGAATATCGGGGGGTGCCGTTATAGGGGGGATATACGATATCGTGGACCTGTATAGACAATTCTCTCTTAAGGGGTAAAGTACTAACAAAGAACTACTTCTGTGGATTTTAAGACAATTCCATTGAAAAATGTGGCTAACATCATCAAAAACCCGAATATCGGGGGTACAGTTATATGAGGGATATACGATATCGTGGACCTATATAGACAATTCTTTTTGAGGGGGTAAAATGCCCACAAGGGACTCCTTTTGTGGAATTTCAGACAATTCCATTGAAAAATGTGGATAAAATCATCAAAATACCGAATACCATGGGGGTACCGTTATATGGGGGCTATACGATATTGCGGACCTATATAGATAATTCTCTGCCGAGGTATAAAATACCCACAAGGAACTCCTTGTGTGGATTTTCAGACAATTCCATTGAAAAATGTGGGTAAAATCATTAAATACCGAATAGAGGGAGGTGGGGGTGTGGGTGCTATATATTTTTGATTTGATTTTGGAATTTCAATGCTCATTTTTTAATATTTTCCGAATGGATATTGTTGTTTACTTCCGTCCACTTCCTTGACGTCGGAATACGCTACCAGTATCACGGTATCGAGCGATGATACGAGACACAAAAGATTTATGCTGGAGTGCTCTAACGATAGCCACGTGTGGTTTTCCAGCCAAATATAAAGAAATCACGCTATCATGCTTGAATTCATCACGAATAACATTTGTTTGGAAAATTCTCACCAAAATGCTTCTGTACGCTTGTAAACAATGTAATAAGCTGTCACTGGAATAATTTTAACAGCTGTTGGGCGAGTGGCTTAGAAATGACAGCAGTCTGAAGTTGGTTGCAGTTTTTTAATCTCACCCTGTATGGTATACAATGACCGTAAAATCGGGTGAAGATGTATATAGCCGGTACAAAAGAATCTTAACCGATCTCGATAAATTTTGGCAGAGGTAATGCTGAGCTGTATCTGATGTGCGATATAAAATATTATTGTGGAGATCATATTACGCATGTGAAGGACTTCAATCGGATGAAACATATATATGGGACCTATAGCTATATCTGAACAGACTTTAACCTAATTTAAAGTACTTGCTTCTAGGATGAATTCAGACCGAATTGCTAAGATTCAGTTCATTTGGGCAGATACTGGCCGTTGGGAGCACAATAGAACTGAAATCGGATAAATCTATTCCGATAAAATCTATCTAAATCTAAATCTATTTCTATAAAAGAGGAAAATATTTGTATGTTTGTTTGTTTGTAATTTATGGACTCGAAAACCGCTGAACAGATTTTCCTGAAAATTTGCATGCATACTGTAACATCGCCTGAAAGTAACATAGGCTATGTACATTTTTGAAATTCCACTTGGAAGTGGAGATATAGCATCAGAATCGGAGGTACCTCCCAAAAATTTAGATTTTGTATGCACATATCTATTGATCGATTACAGATACAGTCTCCAAATTTGGAATGCGTAACGGAATTTGGAACAAAAATAAATTTGCCAAATTATATTTAAATCGGTTCAGATTTGGATATAGCTCCCATATATATTTTCGGCCGATTTCAAGCATTTGATGCACCAAGCAATGAAATTTGAAACGTGTGATGGATTTTATTTAAAAAATTGATTTCACAAATTATATTGAAATCGGTTCAGATTTGGATATAGTTTCCAATAATATTTTCGACCGATTTCGTTCATTTGATGCCTCAAACACGATATGAATGTTCGATTCCAGTGAAATTTGGAATGTTTAACGGGATTTGATCCGAAAATAAATGTATCAAATTATATTGAAATCGGTTCAGATTTGGATATAGCTCCCATATACATTTTCGGCCGATTTCATGTATTTGGTGCACCAAACACACTATATATCTCAAATTTTAATGAAATTTAAAATAAGTAACGAAATTGGGAGCAAAAATGAATTTGTCAAATTATATTGAAATCGGTTCAGATTTAGATATAGCTCCCATATATATTTTCGACCGATTTCATGTATTTGATGCACCAAACACGCTATGTATCTTTAATTTCAATGAATTTTGGAATGTGTAGCGGAAATTAAAACGAATATACATTTGTCAAATTAAATTGAAATCGGCTCTGATTTGGATATAGCTCCCACATATATCTTCAACCGATTTCGCTTATTTGATGCACCAAACACGATATATATGTTCGATTCCAATGAATTTGGAAATGTGTGACGGGATTTTGATTAGAAAATAAATTAGTGAAATTATATTAAAATCGGTTCAGATTTGGATATAGCTCCAATATATATTTTCGGCCGATTTCACATATTTGATAAAGCGAGAGAGACGAAATCTGGCACCAGAAAAAAAATGCCAAATTATATTGAAATCGGTTGAGATTTGGGTATAGCTAACATATATATTTCGGCGGACTTCATACATGTTATGCACCAAACACGATATATATGACCGATTCCATTGAAATTCAGAATGTGTGGCGGAATTTGGTTACAATAATAAATGTGATAAAAAATCAATTGGAAATTAGTTAAGATTTGGTTATAGCTCCCATATATATATTTCGGGCGATTTCACATATTTGACACACCAATTTCAATGAAATATGAAAGTTGTGGCGGAATTTGGTGTAAAAGTAAATTTTTTAAAATTATATTTAAATCGGATCAGATTGGGATATGATTTTAATAAGAACCATTGACTCACAACGCCTTAGGCTAACACTAAAAATCAACACAAAAATTAATTTGAAATACGAGGAAGAATGTTGCTACCTCGAATTCACTAATTGCAATCGAAATGCCACTCAACTTCAAAAAATTGCAGTTTCCTGCACGCTTGGACAAACCCTTCGTGTATACATGTCATGTTACTGCTTTTCTAATGGTTTTGTTTATTAACGCATTAAAGTAGTGCAATATATATTTTTTTAATTTTTAAATTTGTTTTTTTTATCCAACATATATTTGTAAATAAAATTTTGAGTGCATATAAAATCAAAAGGGGTAGCGAAGCGCACCGGGTTCAGCTAGTATATATATATTGGGGCCATATTTAAATCTGAACCAATCTTGACAACATTTTAGGCATTCATTTCTTAGCTGTATTTGATATCTGTACTAAATTTAATTCTTGTGGAGGGCATATTACGCATGTGAGTGACTTAAACCCCCAAATCGGGGGTTATATAAAGCTATCCCGAAAATGTAAAGATTTTGAGGACTACCAAATTGGGCAACATGTTTCGGATATTTGTTAGCAAATTGTCTTCATCGAAGTATCTGTAAATGTGTATACATTTCTGTCGATATTATCTATGATAAGCATGTGTACACGCTTTTTCGAAAGCTCTTGTCATTTATAAGGAAGAAGACCTGAAGTATGCTATGAGTTGTTGTTGATCTTCCATGAGTTAGAATGTAAAAAAAACATTTAGTCTTTCATGAGGTAGAAAACCTTTTGGTCCTCCATCTTCTGGAAAAATTTATTTATTGGATTATTGATGAGCGAGCATTGAATTCACTTTAGATATTTTGTCGACCTTTCCTTGGGACAGGACATGCGTAATAAAATTAATTACAATACAATATTACAAATTAAACTACTTGCGTTAGTATGTGTACTTTGTGTGATGTGTGGTTAGCAGTGGATAAAAATACAAAAAACTAAGTTTGAAGAAGTAAAGAGATAGACTTACCCGTTTTGTTTAGCTTGTAAATTTTGAATGTTTTTATTTAAACTGGGGGCCAAGAAAAAATCTACTCCAAATCTGAAGGGCCTCGCTTGTTGTTGATGTGTGATTTCCTTTCTCAGCTGGTTGATTGTTGGCTGTGAATTTTTATGGTCGTTTCTCGTTTGCTACTTTTTGCTTTTGGTGATTGAATTGCTTTTTCTTTTTATTTTGTTGAATTGGATTGTCCTTCCTTTCCTGCTATTGTTGTTGTTTTTTATTTGTCTTTTTCCGTCCAACTTGTTGATAGAAGAGGGGGTTTTCTTTGCAGAAAACACACAAAAATGTGACAAGTAGATGAAGGTGGGCGTGATACGGTGTGGTGGTATTAGTGCTGATGTTGTTGTTTAGGGGTATTTTTTTTTGCCGCTACTGCTGCTGCCTTCTGTAAGGAGGTGATGACGTTGACAATGAATGATTTGAAATGTGACTTGAATGACGGCTCTTTAATTGTGGTCTGAAAAACGTTGTGGTTTAAATTTAAACATTTTTCTTGTTTCCGTTTCCGTTTGTTGTGTCGTTTTTGCTGTCGTTTTCTTTATTCGACTTCCTAGTAATTTGTTGTGGTATTTTTGTTTTTGTTTTTTTGTAGCAATAGTTGTAATAATATTGGTAGTAGTTGTAATAGTAGTAGTAGTAACTATCTTGAGGATATGAAATGTTGTTTTGTTCTTGTTGTAATTTGGCTTTTGCTGTTGTTTTGGTGTTAATTTTGTTTTATTCTTTTAATTCTGTTCTGTATTTGTTGTTGTTTTGATTCTGCATCGGTAATGACCGCACAAATGGTTTTATGCTAATAATTTTGTTTGATTGTATGTGTTGAGAATATGTTGCCATTTATTTTCATTACACTGTAAAAAATATGAAAAACATTATAAATTGAAAATATTTTAGTTTGCATTCCTCAGATAAATCTATTTGAACTAGTTTAAAGTTGTAGAAGAAAAGATTTCGGTTCTAACTTAAATACAATCGTTTGAAATATAAGTATTTTCCCCTACATTGCATTCCGAGCAATCAATCTTCTAATGAGAATCCAAACTCTTCATGAAAGAAAAATTTCCTAAGCCCATAAAAAGGTGGAATTTTTTCTTAGCCTGGCTTAGTGGCATGGGCTATTCTAGTGGTCTGCCTATTAAGGTCTGGTCTTTCAAGAAATAGAAAGCTTTTTTTCCAGAAGATGATGAGAGAGATGGGAGACCCATGTCCTAGAAGGCAAACATGAATTCTTTAACAAAGAAACGGAACTTGTCTCGTTTGGAAAAGAAAGCTCTAGTCATTTATAAGGATGAAGACCTCAAGTCTGCTATAAGTTGTTGTTGGTCTTCCATGAGTTGAATGTAGAAAAACATTTAGCCTTCCATGAGGTAGAAGACCTTTTGGTCCTCCATCGTGTAGGCAATCTGCTGGACTTTTATGGTATGGGAGATTTAACTGTATTCAATGCGAGTTCGAGTAAGAACATCACATTACTTAAAGAATGGGTACTTTATTATCTTAGAGAGAGAGAGAGAGAGAGAGAGAGAGAGAGAGAGAGAGAAAGGAAGTAATCGTTTGTTAGATTTAAATTTGATTGGTTAAGAATAATAAAGAATGATTATATCCTACACCACATAGTGGTAAGGGTATTATGTCTTTGTGCATTTGTTTGTAATACGGAGAAGGAAGCGAGATAGATCCATAGTCACGCGGATTAGGTTTAAATATAGCTCCCATACAAGGTTGCCCATATTCGACGGACCTTCTCATATTTTTTAATGTTTTAAAAGCACGTTGAGTTTTCACAATTGACTTGTTGTAAATTTCAACTATTTCAGAGCACTTGCCTTGCGTGTATTGGTTCATGGTAAAAATCTGCTTGGACTGACGCTTCAAATGCGGTATGTCATTAAGCGATGTGACATCTTTGTCAAAAGTTATGGCGTTGCCAGATGGGTCCGTCGAATAAGGGCAACCCTGTATATCTTCAACCGATTTCGGGTTAATTGTGCACCAAATGGCCAATGTTAGTCCAAAAGTCCTGAATTTTGGTACAGATATCTCTTATAGCTCGAAAATACCTTTGCCAAGTTTTATCGTGATCGGCTACGATTTGGATATAGCACCTAAATATTCTTAATCCGATTTCAGGTTTATTGTGCAAATAATGGTTAATATCAGCGCAAACGGAGTGAATTTCGTTACGTTCCCTTCCATTTTATGGAACTCGGCTTCGATATATATTGATATAAATGATTAAAATGTCTCCGTAAAATGTGGTGAAATTGGATTTGCCTCCCATATATTAGTTTACTCTGAAATCAAACTATAACTGCTCTAAATATGCATAGTGGTATAATGTATCATATAGTCGGCCCCGCCCGACTTTCCACTTTTCTTTTCTGGTTTGATATGGAATTGCACTGGGCTGGCTTTTTGAATGAAAAAAAATGAAAGTTCTTAGTGGAAAATTAGGTAAAAAAAACTGAAATTTTGTATTTTGAAAATATTTCAGTGATTGCATGGCTGACTCGATTAACACCATGTGAAGCGAGAATCTCGAAATTTCGCAAGTCGGTCAATGTTAGAGTGAATGGGTGAGATAACGCTTGATTTTTTAGAAAATGCAACTATAAGTGAACCAAATAGTATTATGAAATTTGGATTGAGGGCCTGCAAGGTTTTTTTTGGAAAAATTTATATAAACTTAGAGAAGTACTTAATTATACTAAATTTTGTATTTGGGGAAGGTTTAGGATTAGAAATCTTAAATTTGGTATTGGGATCACTTTTTTATATACCTGGTACTGGTCGCTACCGCAATATTGAATTGGCTTCAAAATTCTAAATTAAGAAAATCTTTGGGTGAATATCAAAACAGCTTATGCGACATAGTGTTATAACCCAGATCAAATATATGCCATCTGGGTACCAATATTACAAAGTGAATAGCAAAATTAATATATCTCTATCGTGTGAAGGCTACAGACGAACGTTAAGTTTGGAGTGTCCTAAATTATGAGGTGAAAAAGACCAAATACGTCAGATTTATCCCAATTAATTGGAAATCTTCGACCTTTACCATCCTTATAGTTGAGTTGTACCATTAAATCATAAAAAGGTACATATCTTTTTTGATCGATTTGCTTGTTCTATTAGAACTCTGAATTATTAAAATAGAGCTATGTGACTGGAAAATGTCAATAGGACCTTCTATCCACTTAAAAAATAGCGAGTTATGAACCCGGATGACATTTCTATTTTAAAACCAGTAAAGAAAGTCTTAAAGTCGGGCGGGGCCGACTTTATGATACCCTACACCATTTTGCTAATTAAGTAGAGCTCCACATAACAATTAAAAGTTTTTATGGGAGAATTCAATCATACACGCTATAATTATAATTATAATTTAAAATTCAAAGGACTAAATATGCCGAAGCATTTGTATCTTTTAAATTCGGACTTATATTGCCGATTTGGTGCAAAATTAATTTGAAATCAGATAAAGATATATATGGGAACTATATCCAAATCTGAACCGATCTCGATAAAATTTGACAAAGATATTTCTGAGCTGTATTTGATATATTTCCCTGAATATCGTTGTTACGGAGTGCATATTACGGTTGTGGGTAAAAAATATAACAAATCGGATGAATAATATATATGGAGCTATAGCTATATCTGAACCGATCTTCACCAAATTTGACACACTAGCTTCTAGGCTCAATTCGGTTGTAAGTGCCAAATTCCATCACATTTGGACAAACATTAGACGTTTGGTGCACAATAAAAAGTAAATCGGACGAAGTTATATATGGGATCTATATCCAAATCTGAACCGATCTCGATAAAATTTAGCAAATGTATTTCTGAGCTGCATTTGATATATTTCCCCAAATATTGTTGTTACAGAGTGCATATTACGGTGGCGGTGGACAAAAATAACAAATCGGATGAACAATATATATGGGAACTATAGAAATCTGAACCGATTTCGATCAAATTTGGCATACATATTTTCAGGCCTAATTTGGGTGTATATGCAAAATTCCATACAATTCGGGATTATATTACACGTTTGGTGCACAATAAAAAGCAAATCGGACGAAGATATATATGGGAGCTATATCTAAATTTTGACCGATTATCTCCAATTTCAATAGGGTTCGTCCTTGGGCCAAACAAAAGATCTGTGCAAAATTTCATCTGGATCGGGCAATAAATGCGACCTGTACTTTGTTTACAAAAATACATAGACAGACGGACGGACGGACATGCATAAATCGACTCAGAATGTGATTCTATGCAGATCATCAAAAGGAACTATGGGTCTATCTCGTTTCCTTCTGCCTGTTACAAACAAATGCACAAAGACATAATACCCTGACCACCTTGTTCGCCGATGACCTAAGTCAGTATAAAAAGCGTTTTATATATTCTCACCTTAACACCTATGTCAAAACAGTTGACCTTTTTCTGATGAAAATTGATGTATGGGGAAATTTGGAGTCGATCGAGCAATGTCTGTATGGCTGGTGCGCACGATAACTCTCGAAGGGAGTATCCGATTTTGTCCAAACATGATACATCGTAATATTATTGTCAAACTTAGATCGAGTTCGGAGATGGGCAATGTTGGTCCACTCCTTTTGGTACTTTACCCACAAAAGTTCGAAATTTAAAAAAAAATACTAATATTTGCTTCAGTGCTATGTCAGGTGCGAAAATGACAAATTCCGGTTCACTCCATTAAGTACCTCCCCCACAAAAGTCTAAAATTTAAATAATTATAACTCTTATAAAATATGATGATATGATGATTCAATTCAGATTTTGTACATGTCAATATTTTCATCAACACAAGATCTGTTATAAAGATGTCAGAGATCGGACCATTTCTTCTGGTACCTCCCCACATAGGTTACAAAATTTTGTAGAACAAAACGCTCAAAGAAAGCGAAATTTGATAGATACAAACATTTTTGCTAACACAAGTTATCTGTTGTATAGATAATATATATCTGTTAATCCCTTCTGGTACCTCCCCCACAAAGTGTTACAATTTACAATACTTCTATGTGTCATAACTTGCGGAACAAGTCAGCGATTATTTACAACTTAATATATCTAAATATTTCTCCCAGAAACCTGAGATGAATATGGAATTTATGATTTTGAATAAAATTGGATATAAATTTTCGATTTTCTTGTAATTTTGTACATACGAATATGTTTATCTGTATTAGACGAAGTAAGAAAATGGAATACTTCGGTCGACTATATCTGGTACCATTTTAACATTTTCGAAATCTTATCACACACCCCAAATAAAGTTAAGGAAGTAACCAATATAGTCCAATCCTGGCATGTCGAATATTTATATCATATTTATTTAGGTCCGATATGAAATGGATCATTTTGACCCATTCCTTCCGAACCTCTCCCGTTGAAGGTCAACAAATTGAATAATCGTAACATAAGTCAAATATATACAAACAATCGACTACTGGCTGAGGGTATACACTTGTCGGCAAAACCGACTGATTCTTTTTATCATGTCTATTTTGCTTAATATGGAGCAACTTAGTCGAGACCTTCTGTGTACAGGGTGAGATGAAAAAACTGCAACCAACTTCAGGCTGCTGTCATTTCTAAGCCACTCGTCCGACAGCTGTTAAAATTATTCCAGTGACAACTCATTATATTGTTTACAAGCGTACAAACCAGTTTGGTGAAAATTTTCCAGAACAAAAGCGTGATAGTGTGATTTCTTTATATTTGCCTGGAAAACCACAAGTGGCTATCTGTTTGAGCACTCAAGCGTTTAAATGTGAGTAAATCTTTTGTGTCTCGTACCATCGCGCGTTAC